ATCCCTGGACAGAGCCTCGGTGTGCTCTGCCCTTTCCCCCACCTCCCTCAGGCTGTGGTTTGGGGGGCTGTGCCTCTGGGGTCCACCTCCTGCCCTTGCTCTGGAAGCTTTGCCCTGGGAGGAAGTGGTCCTGGGGCCAGAGAAGAGCCGTTCAGAGCCCTTCTGTACTGCTCACGGGGTGCCCCCACCGCTGCCCAGCATGTCCATATGCTTCTGTATGTGGGGTGACCCGAGGATCAAAACTCCCTTCTTTAGGATGGATGAGTGTCCTGGCTTCCGGATCCCTCTGAGGCCATACTGGCCTGGGGCTGGACCTCGGGGCCTCTTCGAGAAGCAGAGATTTGAGGCTGATCCTGGAGTGTTTAGAGATGGTGACCAGGCCAGTGTTCAGACCCGTGGGCCATCAGAGATGGGAGTACCCAGCAGCCTTTCCTGGAACCCACGTACCCAGTCCCCCACCCCTCTGCAGCCCCACAGACCGGCTGGGTTTCGCTGCCCCATCCCATGGGCGCAGTGTGTGTGTATTACCTCAGAGCAGAGGCTGGTAGGGGGCCTTTCTCTGTGCCTCTTAGTAGTGGGGAGTGGGGGTGCTGAGGGCACGCTTCTCCAGCTGAGATGCCTACACCAGGGGAGCCCGGGAACAGGACTCTCTCATAATAAAGCGAGCCCAAGGGGGTAGGGGGTGCGGGCATAGTTCAGGATGAAGACAGCAGCCAGAGAGGGACTCCCTTAAGAGAGGCGGGGACGGGGGGGGGGGGCTCTGGCTGGAATCCAGAGATGGATATCTTCAGGCCAAGCACAGACACGGCCAGGATGGGGCAGGGACTCCTGGATGCATCCTTGGGCCAATGGGGGACCCATCAGAGGTGGACACTGGAGGAGAAGTCAGGGAGTAGAGGACAATGGATGATGGACTGTCAGAGGTGGACACTGAAGAAGAGGTCAGGGGGTGGAGGTCAGTGGATGATGGAGACCCAGACTCCTACAGGTACCTGATGCCGGGGCCGCGGGAGGCTGAGATTTAAGGCCATTGTGCACCCGCTGACCCCAAGGACCCAGAGCTGGTTCCATCCATTTGCCCAGCCCAGCCTCAGGGTCTTTTGGTGGAGTGGAGGATCAGAGCTGTTCAGAGGAGGGGTCCAAGGAGGACTGGAGGGGCCAGTGAAACCCAGGGTCCCAAAGGTCCAGAGCTAGTGAAGCCGCAGCTCTTAGACGCCAGCAGTGGGCCATAGGGACAGCCATGGAGGACCAGGAGGGCCATGCTTTGTACTCCAGACCCACTGCCCACCTCTCCACCTCAGTCTGCCCCGCGGCACATGGGGACAGGAGACCCCAGAGGCCCCCACTGCTCTGACCAACGTCCCTGGCTTCTGTCTGCATCTCTTAGAGTCTCTTGGGTTGGATCCATTACTCAGGGACACAGTCCCCTTCATCACAGACTGGGGATCATCTGTTGAAGAGGAAGAGCACTCCTGACTGTACCCACACAAGTGTATCCCCATCTCCCCAGGGGCTCCCCCACCTCCCACATCTCTCCCCCTTCCCACCACACTCCTCATCCACCAGGGCTCCCCACCCTCAAACCTGCACTCCTCCCTGAATACTCCCTATCTTCCCTAGTGCTCTCCCTACTGTGCT